TATTCCCTGAGAGAAACTGTAGAAGAATTATTATTTTTCCTTGAATGTTTGGTAAAAATTGTTGTAAAAATGCTAGGGCCCACTGCTCACTTGCTTACTTGCTTACTAAAATGTTTTAAATTAAAAATTATACACATACACACACAGAAAAGTTCATAAATCATAAGTATACAGCTTAATTCTTTACCACAACAGCAGTTTCACTCTTCCATACAGCGCCTCCACCTAATCCTGAGTTTTATGAGAGAGCTGATGAGTCAGTGGGAGCAATAGGTACATTAAAATAACTGTGCCCTATTGACAGGAAGAACATTTAGAAGGTCTGAAAGATGCTATTATAAATTCCATTCAGCACGCAAGGCAACCGAAGCAGTTTCTAACCTACCAGGCCAAATTATGCTGAACAAGATTTTTTTTTTTTCAAGATTTTTAAGTAATCTCTACATCTAAGGTGGGGGTCAAACTCGCAGCCCTAGATCAAGAGTCACATGCTCCACTGACTGAGCCAGCCAGGTGCCCCTAAGCAAGATTTTTATAGAGAACTGGCAAGATTTTTTTTTTTTAAAGATTCATTTATTTGACAGAGAGACAGAGAGAACACACAAATAGGGGGAGTGGCAGAGGGAGAGGGAGAAACAGGCTCCCCCTGAGCAAGCAGCCCCACACAGGGCTAGATCCCAGGACCCTAGGATCATGACTTGAGCCCAAGGCAGACACTTAACCAACTGAGCCACCCAGGCGCCTCAAGAGCTGGCAAGATTTTAATTCAAGCTAAACCAATGCCCCTTCTGTATGATGGTTAGAAAATATAATAAAAAAACCACTTTTCGGTCTTTTACAAATTTTTTTTTTTTAAATAACCCAGCCTTTTAAGGATTTTTGAGGCTATAGCTTAAACAAAGATACTCAAAGGGGTGCCTGGCCAGCTCAATCAGTAGAGCATGCAACTCCTGACAGGTCGTGAGTTCAAGCCCCATGTTGGGTGTAGAGCTTACTTTAAAAAGAAAAAAAAAGAAAGAAAGAAAAGGAAGGTGCTCAGGATAGGACCCAGAAGATGGTAGTTATTAAGAGCATGAGAAAAAAGGAGAATATAATCATATCTAACGAACTTCAGAATGAGCACCCAGGGTAGCAGGATGAACTTACTTATGAATCTAGCCAGAAGACTCTGGATAAATTCCCAGGCTTGTTTAAAACTGAATGCAAATATAGGATGCTAAATGAGATTAATGGCTGGAGTAGTCTCTTTGCAAATATTTGGGTTTTTAGCTAATACTAAGAGAAGTCTTCTTCACAATCATATACCATTTCTTTTTGCACATAATTCGTTTACTATCTTTTACAACAAGTGCTTCAGTGGAAACAAAATCCAGCTTACACTGGAATGGTACCAACTCCCCTGACTGTCCATTTCATTAGCTAAGTCCTTCCCTACCTCCATTACACACATGTTCCCGGCCAGATGATAAACTACTTTCAAATTTCTCTACTTGTTGGCATGTATCAGAGACAGAAGCAATTTAATAGTTTAGGGGAGAAATTTACTTTTCATGGTCTGCCTAAATCTTTCAATGAAATCTTAATCATTCCTGGTCCAAATATGAAATTTTTATATAGAAAAGAATAATTTTGAACAGTCTAAATAAGCTATCAAATATAAAAGTCTAAAAAAAGAGAATAGTGACAACCCCCCAATATCACAAGGCTAGGACCCTTGTGATCAGAGTTCTAGCTACATGTTTATGTCAAACCATTTACCTAACAAATATTTATTGAGTGCTTAGGATATCAGTTACTGTTCCAGCACATAAACTTTCTCAAAGAAAAGAGAATTAAGATCAGAAACTTATGGGGCACCTGGGTGACTCAGTTGGTTAAGCATCTACCTTTGGCTCAGGTGATGATCTCAAGGTCCTGGGATCAAGCCCTGCATCAGGCTCCCTGCTCAGTGGGGAGTATGCTTCTCCCTCTCACTCTGCCTCTCCCCCCTGCTTGTGCTCTCTTTCACTCACTCCCTCTCTCTCAATAAAATCTTAAAAAAAAAATCAGAAACTTATGTCCTTAACAAAGAAAGAGCAGGAGTATCAACTAATACTCTGAACCTATAATAAGCAAACATGTCAAGTATTTTCCTTACTTTTTGATAGCTTACATTTTCCACAACTGCTTTGCATATACTTAAACAGCAAAATGTTCAGCAATGTACAAATTTAAAAAAAGCCTCAAATCAACCCTCACGCACCGTTGGTGGAAATGTAAATTGGACCAACCACTGTGGAAAACAGTATGGAGGTTCCTCAAAAAATTAAAAATAGAATTACCATATGATCAAAAGATTCTACTACTGGGTATTTACCCAAAGAAAATTAATTTGAAAAGACATATGAACCTGTGTTTATTGCAACATTATTACAACAGCCAAACTACAGAAGCAACCCAAGTGTCCACCTACAAATGAATGGATAAAAAGATGTGGTATATGCACAATGGAATATTCAGCCATAAAAAAGAATGAGATCTTGCCGTGTGCAACAACATGGGTGGACCTAGAGTACGTTAGGCTAAGTGAAGTCAGGCAAAGAAAGACAAATATCACATGATTTCACTTACATGTTGTATATAAAAAGAAAATAGGGGCACCTGGGTGGCTCAGTTGGTTAAGCAACCAACTCTTGATTTCGGCTCAGGACATGATCTCAGGGCTGTGAGATTGAGCCCCACGTCCCAGCATGGAGCCTGCTTAGGATTCTCGCTCTCTCAAAAACAAACAAAACAAAAAAACAACAAACCAAAAAAACCAAAACAAACAAAAAGGATTCTCTCTCCCTCGGCCCCTCCCCATAAAAAAGAAAAACAAACAAACAAACAAAACAACCCTTAAATACAAAGAACAAACTGGTGGTTTGCAGAGAGGAGGTGGATGGGTGGGGTGGGTGAGATAAAGGGGGTTAACAGCATAATGTGTGTAGAAGTTGAATCACTATGTTGTACACTTCAAACTAATTTAACAATGCATATGAACTATAAATAAATTTGTTAATTCTTTTTTTTTTAAGATTTATTTATTTATTTGAGAGAGCGAGAATGAGAGAGAGAGAGTACATAAGAGCGGGGAGGGTTAGAGGGAGAAGCAGGCTCCTCGCCGAGCAGGGAGCCCGATGCAGGACTTGATCCAGGGACTCCAGGATCATGACCTGAGCCGAAGGCAGTCGCTTAACCAACTGAGCCACCCAGGCGCCCCAAATTTTTTAATTCTTAATAGAAAAAAAGACAGATACAAACTTCCAGCTATAAAATAAGTAAGTCATGGAGATGAAAAGTATAGCATAGGGAATATGGTCAATAATACTGTAATAACGCTATATGGTGACAGTGACTACACTTATTGTGGTGAGAGTACTGTGCAATGTACAGAATTGTCCAATCAATCTGCTATACACCTGAAACTAATATAACACACTGTACTTCAAAAACAAAACAAAAACAAAAAATCCAACAAAAAATAAGCCTCAAATCCAAAGACATACACACAAAATGGCTGTTAATATATTTAAAAGCACTTAACCTCACTAATGATTGAAGAAGTACAAGTAAAAACTAGAGATGCCATCTTCATCTACTAGAGAAAGAAAAAATTTTAAGATTGGTATCTGCTCTTTATGATAGGGATGTATCTTTTTGAAGATATGTATACCCTTCGACCAAGGAATTCTACTGTTCGGAATTTTTCCTTCAAAATTACTGGCAATGAAAATGCAAGAGTATATGTACAAGATGTTCACTGTAACATAATTTTTAACAGTAAAACACCTGAACAGGGTGTCAAGAACAGGGAACTGGCTGTGTGAAGTTAGAACACAGGAATACAAGGGAATACTATTCTACAACAAACAAAGGAATAAGGCAAATCTTTATGTACTGAAATGATGTGTCTAAGATAAAATGTTAAGTGAAAGAAAGGAAGTCGCAGTCTGTAGAGTATAACCCCATGGATAGAAAAAGGAAAGAAGACAGTCACATATAATAAGAAAATGTACAATTAAAAATTTCTAAAAGAATTCCCAAGTTAGTGTCAATAATAAGTACCTTGGGGGATTGAGGAGGTGGTGGGGAGAAGAGATACTTTAGAGGACTTTACTTTCTTTACATATACTTTTTGTATTGTCTGAATTCCTCACCAGAGTATGTTTTATTTCTATATTTTAAATTTTATAAGTTCTGAGATGTTGTGGAATTCTGTTAAACAACAAGCTTACTGAAATTTAAACATGTGATCCCTAGAAGAAACTATATGTTAAATAATCACTTATTTAACATATGAAGAACTGGAACATCAACTTCTTCTTCTTCTTTTTTTAAAGATTTTATTTATTTATTTATTTAACAGAGAGAGAGACACAGCGAGAGAAGGAACACACAGAGGGGGAGTCGGAGAGAGAGAAGCAAGCTTCCCGCTGAGCAGGGAGCCTGATGCCGGGCTTGATCCCAGGACCCTGGGATCATGACCTGAGCCGAAGGCAGACACTTAACGACTGAACCACCCAGGCGCCCCGGAACATCAACTTCTACGTCTTGCTTAAGCTCATGCTGTTTATGAAGTACTTTCAGTAATTAAAAAATGAGGGTGATTAAAAGACCAAGAAAAATAATAATAAGGGCAAAGTAGCTGCAAAGCCCAAGATACTACAGAGTATTATAGTATCTTCTTGACAAAATTATCTTGGAAAAAAGCAGCTCTAATTCTTACAGATTTTATTTTTAAACACAGACTATGTAAATTACTTTTAAATATAACTACAATGGGACTTAATAATCAATTGCAGAAGTCGTTTCCTAAAACTTACCAAGTTGGGAATGGAAACAGCAGGAAAAAAAGTTGAGGAGTGAATAGCAGAAAAGGAGGGGATGGAAAACAGAATTAGAAGTGGGAATAATGTCTGTTAGTATAGGCAGGAAAAGGGTGACTTTAGAGAAAGTCAATCCCCACAGTAATACTATACCTAACAGCTGGCTGTGTTCCCCTGTGATGGAGTTCTGACTCGGGTCTGAAAAACAAACAATCGAAAAGAAAAGAAAAAAATGAATGACCAAAACAAATAATTTCTTAAAAATCAGCAACAAAAGTCAACCAAGGAAATAAGAAAAAAAAAAAGTTTTTTTAATGCTCAAAAAACATTAATAAAAGGATAATAAAAACAGAATAAACTATTATAAAAAATAATCACACAGCTTTTTGAAAAGTTAAGCAACAGAATTACCATGTGACCCAGCAATTCCACTCTTAGGCATATACTCAAAAGAACTGAAAACAGGGACTCAAAACATTATTACATAACATCAGCAGCATTATTTACAGTAGCCAAAAGATGGAAACAACCCAAGTGTCCTTCAATAGATAAATGGATAAACAATAATGTAGTATATACATACAATGGGATATTATTCAGCCATAAAAAGGAAATGAAGTTCAGATATATGCTACAACATGGATGAACCTTGAAAATATGCTAAGGGAAACAGGCCAGAAGCAGAAGGACATATTTTGTATAATTCCATTTAAATGAAATTTTGAGAAAAAACCAAATTAAAAAGATAATCACACAAATTTGACTAACCAATACTAGTTCCATAAAGTAGTATGATTTGGGGCTTACCACATGGGTTACATTTTCTCTTTAATGGCAAAGGAACATATGGCCATAGCAGCTCAAAGTCAAGACATAAGTAAAGCACTCATTACTACTAGCAGGTATGTTCTGATTTGACTTCATGATAAAATTACTAAACTGGCTTTTATAATATCTACTTCTTCTAATCTATAATAAAATTAGTGGCAATAAGCCAAGTTCCTAATGCAAGAGATATTGACAATCATCATTTAACAACTAACCACCTGCTTTTTTTTTTAAAGGCTTGAAAAGCATTAAGGGCTAAATATGGAAAAGACTCTGAGCTCCAGTTTCCTCTAAGATTAAGTCTCTTGAGATACTGAGGATTACATCTGGCTTCCCTGAATGTGTCTGGGGAACAAAAATAATTTTAGACGAGGGGGTCTGTGAACAATGGGAAAAAAGTTGCATCTTTATTTTCACTAACCTCTAACTGAAGTTTAGTATTTTCTCCAAGAATGATGTCAGCAACAAACTACATAAAAGTACCTGTGCTTTGTCAACAATAAATGATTTTTCATATCACATTGTAATTGTTATATATATCTCATAATACCATTTAGGTGCAATACTACTTTGAAATTATGGTAGTAATTAAAAGGCTGCTAGGTCTTCAATGTATTGATAAAAAAAGCACTTATATTATTAGATCACAAACAATAATTTTGCTAATTGTATTTTAATATAATAGGGTTCTTTTTAATCCTATATATATGTATTTATACGCATGTGTAATACTTTACACATTTAAAAACATTACTCTGGGGGCACCTGGGTGGCTCAGTCATTAAGCGGCTGCTTCGGCTCAGGTCATGTTCCCAGGGTCCTGGGATCAAGCCCCACGTTGGTCTCCCTGCTCAGAGGGGAGCCTGCTTCTCCCTCTCCCTCTGCCTGCCTCTCTGCCTACTTGTGCTCTATCTCTCTGTCAAATAAATAAAATCTTAAAAAAATAATAATAAAAATAAAAATAAAGGGGGACTGGGTGGCTCAGTCATTAGGCGTCTGCCTTCGGCTCAGGTCGTGATCCCGGGGTCCTGGGATCGAGACCCACATCGGACTGCCTGCTCAGCAGGGAGCCTGCTTCTCCCTCTCCCACTCCCCCTGCTGTGTTCCTGCTCTCACTGTCTCTCTGTCAAATAAATAAAATCCTTAACTAACTAAATAAATATAAAAACATTACTCTGAAAAGGAATTTGTAGACTTCAGACTGCCAAAGAGGTCCCAGATACAAAAAAAATTTAGAATTACTGTTTTAAACAAAATTCAAACAGTATTTCCATGGTGTTATAATAAACGTTTTTTATACATAATTTAATAAATCTAACACTTTAAGCATCCCATACAAAAAGAACCAATCAGAATACTAAACAAATTCTGGTTTCTGATGTACAGTACATATTATAGTATACTTTACATACTTTAATCAAGGAGGAAATAAGGTAGAAACCTGGTTGATACAACTAAAGTTTTCAACGTTATGTGAACATTTTAAGATATAATTTTAGATTTTCTTCCTTAATTTGGTTTTTAAAAGATACTCTAAATTTTTATATTCTCAGATGTTTTCCCCAACATACCACGACACGGATACCTAGTTTTTAAATTTAAACTCATCTTATTTCCTATTTAAATAAACAATATGGGTTTGTGCGTAAGACAAAGTAGGAATACCAGTTCTTTAGTACATTGTGTATTAGATTCATCTGTTTCTCTCTCCCCCTCTCTTTCTCTCTCTCACACACACACACACACACACACATGCACACAGGGGATAAATTAGGCCCTATCATTATAGAGAAGCAGGTATATAGGTAGCATGGAAGGAAGAGTAGTGAAAGAATCATAGAATTTAGAACCAGAAGAACTGTGGTCATCATCTAGCTCTACTCTAGTGATTCCAAAGGAAAAGTTGGAGAAATTACCATCATCTATTTTTTTCCCTAAAAATCATACCAACATCCCTTTTTAAGATTCTGATTCCAAGATACTGCCATTAATGGGAATGCCTTTTATGTATGTTGGGATGGGGCAAAGTTTAGAATCTCTTAACATTTATAGTTGAGGGGTGGTTGGTTAAGTGTCTGCCTTCGGCTCAGGTCATGATCCCGGGGTCCTGGGATCGAGCCCCACATCAGGCTCCCTGCTCACCGGGGAGTTGGCTTCTCTCTCTTCCTCTGCTCTTCCCCCTTGCTCGTGTTCTCACTTGCTCTCTCTCTTGAATAAAAAATCTTTAAAAAATAGTTATAGTTCAAAAGATGAATGCTGTTAATAAGTGGCCTAAGACACAGCACACTATTTTCAAAAGAGAGATAATCTTAGTCTTTTGAGGACCTATCTTCATGATTCTTGGTACTCTGTAATTCTAACTTTTTTGTCCTAAAATGAAGAATAGCCTAAAACAAGTTATTTGGAATTTCCAGGCAATCTATGAGTTTTAGAAAAACATCTCAGATAACTCAGGCAGAATAGGTATGATTTTAGATGGGGAAATAGAAATGATTTTTTTCCTTACAAATTACCTCCTTCTATACTATATACTCCCTTGCCTTCTAAGCTGTGCCCACATGCCGTCGTACATTTTCTAGTCAAGCCAGGCCTCTTCCTTTGAACACCCTCCTACTATATGTATTTGAGATGAGTAGAAATAAGTCTTTGTGTAGTTCCCTACAAGTTCAACTTAGATTTCTTTTTCATTTTTTATGAATTGAAGGAATGCAGGGCAACCTTTACTTAATACTTATTTGGTAATTTGAAGACTAACCTCCAAGAACTTGCATATACTTCACTGATACACATAAAACCCAAAACAAGGGCAAATCTAGGAGTAAACAGGTTCAGAACCCATGAGAATGAAAATTAGCCATGCCTATAAAAATCACAATTGGTAAATGGGTTTAAGTTGAGGAGTGTTTCTGGGTATGCAGTCCAAATTGTGTAATCAACATGGTAACACTGCTCTGAGATATGTCTGGGCATCTTTCTATTGTCTTATGTCTAACTCTCCCATTTAACATTTTTCCTGCTTATGTCACTGATGAGGGCACACCCAAGTTTGCCGAAGCCTCGGAGTTGTCCTAAACATTACTCAAAATGTTTATTTTAACCAAATTACTTCCTGTAATAAAAACAACTTGCCAATAACGTAACTATTTTTACTTTTGATGGTCTTTATAAACTAAGCTACCCACAGGTTATAACTCAAAAGGTTATACCAAAAGGTTATACTCAAAAGCCTATGATACTCTACCAGTCAAAATGGTAGTTCAAATAGAATCATGCATCTTTTCACATGTAAATACAATCAGAAAAATGACCTGAAAGTATTTCCTTGTTACAGTAATGATACAGTGGTTTTACAAATGGGCACTTTCTCAATATATTTCATTTATCCTGGGTAAATGGTAAAGAATGGAGATTTTATTTAGTTTCTTGCCATGTGCCTTGGAGAATAGAGAGAAAAATGATTGTGGGTGGTACCTGCTTGTAAAACTGCCTCTGTAAATAGTTTTTCTGAAGAGCCTTATTATCTCCCTTAGTTTGCCCACAGCAATAGCCTTTTCTGAATTTCCTTTGCTAATTACTTGTCTACCATTCTTAGTAGAGAATTTGAAGCAAATAAAGGCTAGCTTGTACCTTGCATGTAAAACTCAGTGTAGCAGGTTTTAGTCTTCATTAAAGATAGTATCAGTAATTTCATTAAGTAACACAATCAATAGTGGAAACTATTAGGCCTAATTATCTAGAAAAAGAAGTAGGCAGGACCAAGTGCATATACATGAGGACAATCAGCTCATTATAGTGTATATTATCTAGATATACCTCGAATACAAGGGTACAAAATACCTGAAATCACCAGTCTTAACACATTCCTAACTTTCTGGACTCCAACTTTTAAAAAACCAAAGTAGCATTATCATAAGAAACCATTTTGACTCAGAATTAGACAAAGCGGATTAAAAATGGAATCAAAGACAATTACTCCAACGTTCACAGTTACTAGATTCTGCCTCTCTAAATGGGTACCTATTGTAGTGGGAAACCCAAGAAGGAAAACAAGCTGAAATAAGGTAAAATCTGAAAAAGCCTATCTTCTTTATATACATTTTGAACTTATTGCAATGAGACCAGAAAGACCTAGAAAAATTTACATGTGATTAATTGGGTTTAAATAAATAAGTGGGTGAAAAACATAAGGCAATTGTAGGCAAAATAATTTAGCTGTAAGATGGAAATGTAAAGCAATGCATACAGAAGTTAATTTAACTAGTTTTTTATGTTTCTAGCCTACCCAACAAAGGAGAGTCAAAAGATCCTTACCTGAATTTTTATTGTAACATATTTTTAAAAGGATACTTAGAATATACTTCTGCCAAAAA